TAAATACCTTTTTTAATTCATTCATATATCATTTCCCAGAAAGCCTTAATCTTTGGACACGTCCACCAAAGGTGAAAAAATGTACCTTCAGTTTCTTTACATTTCCAACATTTATTATCAGGCAAATGATAGATTTTTGCAAGCTTGACTGGGGTTATGTACCACCTGTATATCATTTTCATAATATTCTCTCTTAAGGCATTACATGCCGTAAATTTCATACCTGTGGTCCACAACTGTTCCCAATCAGCAAACATAATGTTATGTCCAACATCTTGTGCCCATTTAATCATAGCCGATTTTACCGTTTCATCCTGAGTGTTCCATTTCAGCAGCAAGTTATACATTCTTGACAAATTCTTAGTTTTGGGTTCTAACAGTTCTGTTTCTAATTTTGATCTTTCCACCTGGAAGCCAATTTTCTTGTCCAATTTAAATGCCTCCATTATCTGATAATAATGAAGCCAGTCTCGCACTTTGTTTTTTAATTTTTCAAAACTCTGCAATTTCAGTCTATCTCCGTCTTGTTCCAAAATTTCCCAATATTTCGGCCATTTGACCTCCATATTGACCTTTTCAAGGCTTTCGCTTCCATTGGTGACAGCCACCTTGGGGTTTTGTTTTCTAGCAAGTCCTTATATCTTAACCAAACATTAAATAGCGCTTTCCTGACAATGTGGTTTCTAAATGCTTTATGTGCTTTGACCTTATCATACCATAAATATGCATGCCATCCAAACACATTGTTAAAACCTTCCAAGTCCAAAATGTCAGTGTTTTCAAGAAGTAGCCATTCTTTCAACCAGCAAAAAGCTGCTGATTCATAGTAAAGTTTAAGGTCTGGCAGGGCAAATCCACCTCTTTCCTTTGCATCCGTTAGAATTTTAAATTTTATTCTGGGCTTCTTGCCCTGCCAGACAAATTTAGAAATATCTTTCTGCCACCTCTTGAAACAATCCATTTTGTCGACAATCTGCAAAGTTTGAAACAAAAACAACATTCTAGGCAATACATTCATTTTTATCGCAGCAATACGGCCTAGCAGTGAAAGCTTCAAATTTGACCAAATTTCTAAGTCTTTTTCACTTCAGACCAACATTTTTCATAATTATCTTTAAATAAATTCCCATTTTTGCTGTCATGTTAATCCCCAGGTATTTAACTTTCTTAACCACTGTTAAACCTGTCTCATTCTGAAACCTCTCTCTTTCAAACGGTGTTAAATTTTTCTCTAAAACCTTGGTTTTTGACTTGTTCAATTTAAATCCTGCCACTTGACCAAATTCTTGAATCAGTTCTAAAACCCTTTTAGTACTAGATTCTGGCTCCTGTAACGTCAATACTAAGTCATCTGCAAATGCTCTCAATTTGTACTGTTTAATTCCGACCTGCTTGCTCCATCTAGCTCAGTATTGTCCACACTAACTGGCAGCAGCTCTCTGGGATTTCTGGCAGGGGGTGTTCCCAGGCCTACCTGGAGATCCTACAGGGGATTGAAGCTGGGACCTTCTGCATGCAAAGCATATGCTCTGTCATTGAATGTGGCCCTTCACTTGAACCGAGGAATGAACCTAGCACATGAACCTAGGAAGCTGCCTCATACTGAGTCAGGCCACTGGTCCATCCAGCTCAGTTTTGTCTACACTGACTGGCAGCTGCTCTCCAAGGTTTCCAGTAGGGGATGATCCCAGCCCTACTTGGGGATGCCAGGGATTGAACCTGGAACCTTCTGCATGCAAAGCAGTTGCTCTGCCACTGAGCCACAGAGCTTCCCCTCAGACTGACTCTGCCTTTCAGCTTGTCACTGCATGCCTATGAGAGAACCAGCTGCCACGATAGCCGTATGCAATCCTCTCCCCCCTTTTTTTAAACCAGAGGGTCATTTTTATTTTATTTTCACCCTCTGAAGTTTTCATTTCCTTAATTGGAAATAGGCAGGTGAAGAACTAAATAACTTGGTTTCACAGTCCCCGGCAATTGCTAAATTGCAGGGGAAGTTAATCTTCAGCGAGATTACTACATATTCACCAAGTAATAAGTTTCCCTCTGAAGCAACAGGGCTTTTTCAGCCTTTATCGTTGGCAATAAATGCGCTATTAGAGGCCAGAAATGATATTGGAGGTTCTTTCCCACAGGGCTCTCCTGGGGGTATTTTTGAGAGGCAAAATATCCTACAGGCTATTTTTGCAAAATACATAGGGCTGATTTAAAAACATCAGCCGACCAACTGAAACCTCAGATTCTGTATTTGCAGTAATGGAGATCTAAAGGAAAGTAAGCCAGTGGATGGTCATTGCAGGGTTTGCCTTTACAGTAGAGCAGGGGTAGCCATTGGGTGCCCCCCCAATATGTTAAAGACTACAACTCCCAAAAGCCTCAGCTAGAACAACCAACATCTTACAGCATCGACAGCATCAACAACAACGACAGCATCTTAAAAAGCAGAGACATCACCTTGCCGACAAAGGTCCATATAGTTAAAGCCATGGTTTTCCCAGTAGTGATGTATGGAAGTGAGAGCTGGACCATAAAAAAGGCTGATCGCTGAAGAATTGATTCTTTTGAATTATGGTGCTGGAGGAGACTCTTGAGATTCGCATGGACTGCAAGAAGATCAAACGTATCCATTCTTAAGGAAATCAGCCCTGAGTGCTCACTGGAAGGACAGATCCTGAAACTGAGGCTCCAATACTTTGGCCACCTCATGAGAAGAGAAGACTCCCTGGAAAAGACCCTGATGCTGGGAAAGATGGAGGGCACAAGGAGAAGGGGACGGCAGAGGACGAGATGGTTGGACAGTGTTCTCGAAGCTACCAGCGTGAGTTTGACCAAACTGCGGGAGGCAGTGGAAGACAGGAGTGCCTGGCGTGGTCTGGTCCATGGAGTCATGAAGAGTCGGATGCGATTAAATGACTAAACAACAACAAGAATGACCAATGATAGGGAATGATGGGAGCTGCAGTCCAAGCCACCTGGAGAGCATTGTGTTTCCTCCACACGGGAGAGTGCTCTTCTGCTCAGCTACTGTTTATGAGTTTTATTCTATCTCTATCTATCTATCTATCATCTATCTATCTATCTATCTATCTATCTATCTATATCATCTATCATCTATCTATCTATCTATCTATCATCTATCATCTATCTATCTATCATCTACCTATCATCTATCTATCATCTATCATCTATCTATTATTTTTTCATTTATATCCCACCTTTTTTACTTCAAGGAACTCAAGGTGGTGGACATAGTTCTCCCCTCCTCATTTAATCTCCACAACAACCCTGTGAGGTAGGTTAGGTTGAAAGGCAGTCACTGGCCCTCTTACAAGGCCCTACTTCATGTGCCTCCTCCTTGAGAGGTCCAGAGGGTGGCAACATGAGAATGGGCCTTCTCTGCAGTGGCTCCCCATCTGTGGAATGCTCTCCCCAGGGAAATTCGCCTGGCACCTTCATTAGACACCTTTAGGCACCAGGCAAAAACATTCCTTTTTAACCAGGCCTTTGGTTGACCTGATCAACATCATATACCCTTTAAAAATGTGGCTCTTTTTTGGGGGGGGGGTGTCATTGGATTATTGTTTTGATTTTGATTTTATATATTGGTTTCTTTTTTTGTGAACCGCCCTGAGACCTCTGGGTACAGGGCGGTATCTAAATTCAAGAAATGAATGAAATGAATGAATGGCCCAAGGTCACCCAGTGAGCTTGATGGCCAAGTGGGTATCTGAACCCTGGTCTCCCAGGTCCTCTAACCACCACACCAGCTCTTGTAATGAAAAACAGGGGAGCCATGAGGCAAGACAAGGGCCTCAGAGCAGCAAGTGCATTACCTCTGTGCAACTGCTGCCCAGGCGTGTTGACAGTGGAGGACAGGGAGTGGTGGGCAAGAGGGGGCAGGGGGCGGCGAGCTCCACATGGTGGCAGTGGCACTGCTCTCACTTGTCAGAGGGGTTGTGGAGGAGAAGGTGTAGGCATGGCATTTTCAGTTTTGCAGAATGTCCTGGGCTGGTCCTGGTCCTAATGTGCAATGTGCTAGGAGGCAAACCCACCTTGCTGGGGCACTAGGGGTCTTTGGAGAGATGTGTTGAGCTCCATCTCAAATGATTCCCCAACCACCTGTTTTTTTTCTTTTTTCTTTTAAAATCATTTTTACTAGGTTTTTTCCTTGTAACCTCCGGTGGCGCAGTGGCAGCAGGAGGCCCCATTAGCTAAAGTGGTACCTCAGGTTAAGAACAGTTTCAGGTTAAGGACGGACCTCCAGAACAAATTAAGTTCTTAACCCGAGGTACCACTGTATGGGCAATCTTTATATTACATTCAAATTTTGATTTCCCCATTCCCTACTGACTTCCCTCAACTTCCGTCCCTGGTTTAGTACATCTCATATTACAATCTGCTATTTGTATATACTTCCATATAAAGGTAAAGGTAAAGGTACCCCTGACCATTAGGTCCAGTCGTGGATGATTCTGGGGTTGCAGCTCTCATCTCGCTTAACTGGCCGAGGGAGCTGGCATTTGTCCGCAGACAGCTTCCGGGTCATGTGGCCAGCATGACTAAGCCGCTTCTGGCGAACCAGAGTAGCGCACGGAAACGCCATTTACCTTCCTGCCAGAGCGGTACCTATTTATCTACTTGCACTTTGACATGCTTTCAAACTGCTAGGTGGGCAGGAGCTGGGACCGAGCAACGGGAGCTCACCCCGTCGCAGGGATTTGAACCGCCCTAGGCTCAGTGGTTTAGATCACAGCGCCACATGCATCCCTTATATACTTCCATATTGTCATACTATTATGTTTCTTGTTGTTTATAAATAAAATTGCAAATGTTTATTTAAATCCTGCCAATGACTTTATGTTTTTTTGTTTTGTTTCTGCAAGTATGATGTAAAGGGTTCCTATTCTTTTTCAAAGTCACTATTGTCTTTTCCACGTAATCTGTCTGTTAACTTTGCCAGCTCTGCATAGTTCATCAGTTTCTCTTGCCATTGTTTCTTTGGATGTGAGGGCGATCTGGCTGCGACATCTGTCACCTCATTGATCGCCAGGGTTGATTTGGCTGATCTGGCTGGCTAGGCGGGTGTCCCCTTTGCCCCTCACCACTCCATGTGCATCCCTCCCAAAGCTGCGCACTCGGTGGAAGAGGATGACCATCCCAGATAGAAGGAGTGTACCGTTCTTTGGTCAAGGGTATATGATAGCTTCGCTTCCCTGCTAGAACCTTCAAACAAGCCCAACCACCTGTTTTAACACAATTGGCCCTGCTTCAGATGTTACCTTTGTGTTTTTTGTGTGTCAAGAATTCCCTGTGGTCTGGGAAATGATATATAATGAATTGAAAAGGATGTTTAAAATAACATTTGTAAAAAAACAAAACACCCAGAAGCTTTTCTTTTGGGAATTATAGGGACAGAACTACCTAAACTGTATAGAAACTTATTGATGTATGCAACTACAGCATCAAGAATGTTCCTTGCCCCCAAAGGGAAAGAAGCAGAAGTCCCATCAAAGGAAGAATGGATACAAAAACTTATGGAATATGCACAAATGGTGAAACTTACCGGAAGAATAAGAAATCAAGATAACAAACTTTTTATAAAAGAGTGGAAATGGTCTGTGGAATATTTACAGATAAATTGTAAACAGAAAAGAACATTTGCAGGATTCTTGTAATAACCTGCCGTTCTATAAGCGTATATATTTAAAATAGATGAATAAATGAGCAAATTAAGTTAATTTGGATATGCAGAAGATATTAAAAATAAATATGAGGAACCGCAGGAAGAGGAGGAAGGAATTCAAGTTTTGAAATGTTAAAATGATTGTAAAATTAGTGAAATGTATAAACCTGAAAAGCATATAATTTTATTTTATTTTTAAGAAAATAATTCACTGTGGTCTCAATAACTCCTTTCTCCCTTCATGTGACTCCCCCACCCCACTTCCTAGATAATGTTGGTGATGGTAGTTATTATTAATTACTTGCATTTTTGCACTCCAGTGCCTCAGAGCGACTCACATAGCAAAAATACAATAACAAAGGTATTAAAATCAGGTTTAAGCAGTGGTAAACAAAGAATGGAGAGCGCAAAATGTGGTCTGAAGCTCAACATCAAAAAAACGAAGATCATGGCCACTGGGCCCATCACCTCCTGGGAAATAGAAGGGGAAGAAATGGAGGCAGTGAGAGATTTTACTTTCTTGGGCTCCATGATCACTGCAGATGGTGACAGCAGTCACGAAATTAAAAGATGCCTGCTCCTTGGGAGAAAGGCGATGGCAAACCTAGACAGCATCTTAAAAAGCAGAGACATCACCTTGCCAACAAAGGTCCGTATAGTCAAAGCCATGGTTTTCCCAGTAGTGATGTATGGAAGTGAGAGCTGGACCATAAAAAAGGCTGATCGCCGAAGAATTGATTCTTTTGAATTATGGTGCTGGAGGAGACTCTTGAGAGTCGCATGGACTGCAAGAAGATCAAGCGTATCCATTCTTAAGGAAATCAGCCCTGAGTGCTCACTGGAAGGACAGATCGTGAAGCTGAGGCTCCAATACTTTGGCCACCTCATGAGAAGAGAAGACTCCTTGGAAAAGACCCTGATGTTGGCAAAGATTGAGGGCACAAGGAGAAGGGGACGACAGAGGATGAGATGGTTGGATAGTGTTCTTGAAGCTACAAACATGAGTCTGACCAAACTGCGGGAAGCAGTGGAAGTCAGGAGTGCCTGGCGTGCTCTGGTCCAGGGGGTCACGAAGAGTCAGACACGACTAAACGACTAAACAACAACAACAAACAAAGAATGAAATGCTAAAATTGTGCTGGTCAGGACCACACTAGGCTTCAGAGGGCCCCTGTTCCTCCTCCTTCTCACACCACTTGGAGTAGCAGTGGTCCAGCAGGCTGATCTTATGTGCTAATAAGGAGCATCTGCTTTGCATGCAGAAGGTTCCAGGTTCAATCCCCGGCATCTCCAAGTAGGGCTGGGAGAGACCAGACACTCCCAAGTGTCTCAGTTTTCTAGGGACAGTCCTGGATTTACAGAAGCCGTCCCAGTTTCTGACTTGATCCCGGAATGTCCCACTTTTCTTAAAAAGTTTTTTTTAAAAAAGGTAAAGGACCCCTGACAATTAAGTCCAGTTGCAGATGACCCTGGGGTTGCGGCACTCATCTCATTTTGCTGGCTGAGGGAGCCAGTGTTTGTCCACAGACAGTTTTTCTGGGTCATGTGGCCAGCATGACTAAGCCACTTCTGGCAAAACCAGAGCAGTGCATGGAAATGCTGTTTACCTTCCCACCGCAGTGGTACCTATTTATCTACTTGCATTTTTGGTGTGCTTTCGAACTGCTAGGTTTGCAGGAGCTGGGACCGAGCAATGGGAGCTCACCCCGTTGCAGAGATTCGAACCACTGACCTTCTGATCGGCAAGCCCAATTAGGACATCTGGTGCTGTGGGTTAAACCACAGAGCCTAGAACTTGCTGATCGGAAGGTCGGTGGTTCAAATCCCCGAGACGGGGTGAGCTCCCGTTGCTCAGTCCCTGCTCCTGCCAACCTAGCAGTTTGAAAGCACATCAAACTGCAAGCAGATAAATAGGTACCGCTCTGGCAGGAAGGTAAATGGTGTTTCCGTGCGCTGCTCTGGTTCACGAGAAGCGGCTTAGTCATGCTGGCCACATGACCCGGAAGCTGTACGCCGGCTCCCTCGGCCAATAAAGCGAGATGAGCGCTGCAACCCCAGAGTCGTCCGTGGCTGGACCTAATGGTCAGCGGTTCCTTTACCTTTATTTTCATTGGAGAAATGTTGGAGGGTACGAGAAACTCCTCACCTGAAATCCTTAGAGAACCACTGCTAGGCAGTACTGAACTAGGTAGATCATTGGCCTGACTCAATATGAATACCCATTTGCTGGAAACTGCAGGAAAGGAAAATGCTTTTGTGTTTGTATCCTGCTTGCAGGTTTCCCATTGGGGCATCTGGTTGGCCACTCTGAGGACGCTGGACAATGTGGGCTGTTGTTCTGACCCGGCAGGCTCGTCTTACATTCTTATGGACTCCTATCCAACTGTTTTCAACATCTTCTATCGTCTTCCCCAGGTGGAAATCCAACTAGTTCACCATTACACCGAACTGCATTTCCATGGCTGGCATTAAGCACATGTTTATAAAAAGCATACTTAGCATAAATGCGCAGCCTGGCCCCGGGTGGATACTTGGCTTGAAGGAGAAGCTTGCCTCCTGCTGACTACTTAGGAGCTCATTGAAAGGCTGAGAGGATCATTTAGCACTTTCTGCATCTCAGACAAAGTCTTAAGAGCCTCGGGGGAAGGGGACATCAGTGCTCTTCGGCTGTCTCACGGGAAGAATCCTGACTCTGCAATTTCTCACTGGGGAGACCTGTTTTCAATGGAGGGATTGTGAAATATACTCGGAGTCGAGAGTGGATTTCATGCTCTTTATTCAGCTCATAGTGGTGAGGAGGAATGGAAGTTCCCCCAGAATGTCTGCTTTATATACATTATTTACACAATGGGCCCCACGTGATTGGCTAATTCCGGGATTCACCTGTAGGCCAATCAGGTTGCGGATTCACTTCCACCTGGAGCTGGATTGGGTGGCTCCTGTGGACCAATCAGACTGCTGCATTCTGAATCCTATTGTTCCAGGACCAATCAGACTGCTGCCTTTTGGATCCTATTCAACTCAGTACATAACAGATTGCATGGCGATCGATGGGGAAACGGCCTTGGAAACCAGGAGTGCTCAGAAAGTGCTTCATCCAAGGAAACAGAAGGATTAATTAATTTTCTGTTCCATCCTTTATTTGAGGACCACAGGATGATTTGCAATATCAAAACACAAAAATGCATAACGTAGTAAGAAACAAAAACAACACCCTCCCCCTGCCCCCAGTTTAAAAGGCCATAGCATAGATTGTTTAATTAGCCAAAGGCCTGGGAGAAGATGAATACTTTTGCCTGGCACCTAAAGATATATAGCGAAGGCACCAGGCGAGCCTCCCTGGGGAGACCATTCCCCAAATGGGGAGCCACTGCAGAGAAGGCCCTGTTCTTGTGTTGCCACCGTCCGGACCTCTCTAGAAGGAGGCACATGAAGAAGGGCCTCAGAAGATGATCTCAGGGTCTGGGTCGGTTCATATGGGGAGAGGTGGTCCTTGAGATATTGCGGTCCTGAGGCGTTTAAGGCTATATAGGTCAAAACCAGCACTTTTTGTTGTGCCTGGAAACTAATTTGCAGCCAGTGCAGTCAGACGAGGATTGTCATTTTATTCTCAAATCATAGCTAACAGACAGATAAGAGAAATGACTTCTCTATGGAGTGTATAAACTATGGAACTCCCCGCCACAAGTGGCAGCAATGGCCACCACCTTGGATGGCTTTAACAGAGGATTAGACAAATATGTGGAGGAGATGTCTAATGAAGGCGACTAGGCAGGGTGGCTCTGCTCTGCTGGAGACAGCAGTGTTTCTGAATACCAGTTGCAGAAGGGGAGAGTGCTCTTCTGCTTGAGTCCTGCTTGCTGTTTTCCCACATGCATCTGGTTGGCCACAGTGACCTCACTCCCTTTCCTCCCCCCCCCCCCGACAGCCACTGATCACTCCGGGCCGATCCAACCCAACATGCACTAAAAAAAGGTAAAGGTAAAGGACCCCTGGACAGCTAAGTCCAGTCAAAGGCAACTATGGGGTTGCAGTGTTTATCTCACTTTCAGGCCGAGGGAGCCGGCGTTTGCCCACAGACAGCTTTCTGGGTCATGTGGCCAGCAGGACTAAACAGCTTCTGGTGCAACGGAAGACCGTGACGGAAACCAGAGCGCATGGAAATGCCGTTTACCTTCCCGCTGCAGTGGTACCTTTTTATTTTATTTTATTTTATTTTATTTTATTTTATTTTAATATTATTTTTTGAAAATACTAAAAGTGCATTTACTTCCCCTTTTAAACTTCTATTCTGGTTACAATATATTACTATTCTATAAGAATCTATTACAGTGGTACCTCGGGTTAAGTACTTAATTCGTTCTGGAGGTCCGTTCTTAACCTGAAACTGTTCTTAACCTGAAGCACCACTTTAGCTAATGGGGCCTCCTGCTGCTGCTGCGCCACTGGAGCACAATTACTGTTCTCATCCTTGAAGCAAAGTTCGTAACCCGAGATGCTATTTCTGGGTTAGCGGAGTCTGTAACCTGAAGCGTATGTAACCCGAGGTATCACTGCATATCCTTTGCTGTCCCATATATTATTTTATTTCCCAAATTCAACCTAACCCTTGCCTCCTCCCCACTGCTTCCCTTCACCTGTGTGAGATCTTCCCTTCATAATATTTTTTTCTAGTTGCTTTGATAAAATAGAGTAACGTGAAAACTGTTAAATTATAATTACTACTTTTGTCCTTACACGCTTAACAATTGCTTATTAAGAGTTCTGCTTTAACACCATATTTCTTCATGTATTCCCCTATGCATTCCCATTCTGTATAGAATTTTTCATTGGAGCAGCCCCTGACTGATGCAGTCATTTTTGCCATCTCGGCGAGTTCACCGACACAGTGGTACCTATTTATCTACTTGCAGTGGCATGCTTTCAAACTGCTAGGTTGGCAGAAGCTGGGACAGAGCAAAGGGAACTCACCCCGTTGCGGGGATTCGAACCACCGACCTTCTGATCTGCAAGCCAAGAGGCTTAGTGGTTTAGACCACAGTGCTACCAGCGTCCCAACTTGCCGTAATCCTTGCCTGTGTGTACCTGATTCATCTGAGACCCAATGCCCTCCAGATCTGAACAACCTGGCTCAGGATTCAAGCCTCGGATGAATCCAGTGCATAGCCCTAGGAAACCGTCCGACAGAGCTACCATTCAGAGGGGCTCTTTCAAAGCCATCCAAGGCCCCTTGCCACCACATCCGTGCTCCTCTGGCTATTGATAGGCATCCATCTCTCCACCCCGTGCAAGAAATGAATCTCACGATGCTGCTGCCAAGGAAGACTTGGTGTTTTATCTGCCAAGTGGATAAAAGCACACATGGAGGCTGCAGGCCACAAAGCCAGGCACAGCACTGAATCGCCAGAAGCTAAACATTTGATGCCTTCTTTTCTTAAGCCACCTGCCTGTTTACACCCATGGTGAGAGAAGATGGATGGAAAGGCTCAGAAATAACGCCGGGGGGGGGGGGAGCCACTTTTATCCCTTTAGAGCAAGAGCCCCTTGTTGTTCTCTTTGGTGAGGACACAAGGGCAGCCAGGAAGAGGCAGGCTTGCAAGCTGTTGCAGATACCATCAATCTGTTGAACTGATGCTGGGTGCTGTGGCAAAGGCTCACCAAACCACATGGGCTTACACTGGAGCAACAATCCTGGACTCCCAGCTGTCACTCTCATTGAAGAGAAAACCAAAGTATTCAGTTCTAAATGATTTGCCAAACTTCTGATTTGGGCAGAGAGGAAACGATCTTCCCTGGGATATTATTCAGCCTTGCATGCATTGTTTCCTAAGAGGCATCCAGAAGTAATTTGCAATATAATAAAAACATATCTAAAACGATATCCTGTATATTTGGGGAAAGCCGTTCACACTCTATGCATTTTCTCAAACACCTTTTACAACACACTGCATGATTGTTCCCAAGATCAAGGAAGAAGTTTTTTTTTAATCTGTGTTTGGATACAGGAGGGCATTTTGAATCAAGAGGGAGGGCTAGACCATGCAAAACTGCACTGATTTATTGGTTTTCTAGAATTTCCGAGCAGTGCCGGGCTCAAGGCTTCTGGCTGCATATATAAAACCTTTAAAATAAAATACATTCAAACATACACAATTTTAAATAAGAATGGAACACAAAATCTAGTCCAATCCAAGCTGAACAGGATAAAGAGTTCCATTTGGAAGCCCTGCTGGAAAGGGAAAAAAATGTTAAGATTCTATGTAAAAAAACAAAACAAAACCCCACATATCTAA